CACACATATATATACATATATATACACACATATATATACATATATATAATTTGTAATCACTTGTGTAAGTGTAAATAAAAATCATACCAGTACCGATAATCAGATTTTTACATTACTGCAGACATTCACAAGTTTGATGAAAACATCCCTTTTTACAGATAATAATGTGCATATATAAAATCATGCACCAGCTGCACAAATAGTCAGCACTTTTGTTCCTTTACACCTGCTTTTTATTGGATTTTTATTTTCAAATGTGTATATCAATTAGTTTTATTGGAATTTTAACTTAACAGAATAGCAGAATGTGGGTGAAATATGTGTAGCTTTAAATTGTTTTTGTATTTCAGTGAACCGTAAGTGTGCAAGACCCCATCTAGATCACAATGCATTGCAAAAAAAAACCCAACTTTTTGGGTATGTGCATTATTGGCTGCAAAAAGATCAACCAAGTGAATTTTCTGCTTTTTATATTAGAGCCCTAAGATTTACAGTCAGAGTCAGAGGCTTTATGTTTTTCAAGACTGTTAGATAAAATTAATCAAAAACATAAAACCAAAAYGTATTTTGTTACTCCAAACCTAAAGGGGAAAAACGTCTAATTTTCGAGTTGAACCGGGTGTGCAAATTCCCGAGCCACACTTGAACGCAGCTCCAAGGCYGAAGCTGTCAGAGCATGGAGCGAAGCATTCTGGGACTTGTAGTGTTAGACAATGACGTCAACGATGGGCTCTGTATTTATAGCATCTCTGCACATTAGAGAGCTGTCACTTTCGTTGTTAGATCTTTTCTGATTGATTATTTAATTTTTAGCTCTTTTTATTTATTTTTTTCTTCCCGTCGCCACAAAACAGAAAACATAGAAGAGAAACAGCTGCACTGATTTGTGTTTAGCCCTGCAGAAGCCTGTTGGAGGTGGATCATATGAGGGTGATGCTTTAAAACTTTACCTTGTAACAGCAGAGGGCCCTTTTGGACAGATGCTCTCTGCTGGGACAACGTCTGCATGAAAATYGCATGAAACTCCAGGAGGAGGAAGTTAAAAGGGAAGAAAGGCTGAGTTTGTTTATAAATGCAGCACGTTTTTAAAAGACGTTTGTAGCCGTTGTTGTGTTTAAGTATAAATTATATATGTATATTAGAAAAAAAAAAACTCCTGATGCTCGTTTTTGTGCTGCAAATGGTTCTTTGAAGTGTCAAAAAAAAAAAGAAAAAAGGAGTCTCTTCGTCTCATCACCGGTTCACACGTCCAGTTACCCATCCACCTTTGTAGTTTCTACGGTGAATTATGAGCCGGGGGTGGGGGGGTGAAAAACCAAGCAACTCCAGGCCTCGCAGGTTGCAAAACATATCCTGTTTTCTTATTGGCCGTGTTTCTCTTTTCAACTTAAAAAAAAAGAAGACAGGCTACTAGAGCAGGGTTATTTTATTTTTTTTACAGTGATGATGCACTGCTTTATCACTATTTCTGATTGGAGCG